TTTTCTACTGTTTATACTGCCCCCGTCATACCTCTGGACTCCTCTACTGTACATACTGCACCCATCATACCTCTGGACTCTACTGTACATACTGCACCAATCATAGCTCTAGACTCCTACTGTACATACTGCCCCCTGTCATACCTCCAGACTCCTGTCATACTGTACATACTGCCCCCGTTATAACTCCAGACTCCTCTACTGTACATACTGTCCCACTATCATAACTCCGTACTCCTCTACAGTATATGCTGCCACCTGTCATACCTCCAGACTCCTATTCTGTACCTACTGCTCCCTGTAATACCTCCAGACTCCACTACTGTACATACTGCTCCCTGTAATACCTCCAGACTCCCCTACTGTACATACTGTCCCCATCATACCTCCGGACTCCTCTACTGTACATACTGCTCCCTGTAATACCTCCAGACTCCTCTACTGTACTACTGCCTCCTGTCATACCTCCAGACTCCTCTACTGTACATACTGCTCCCTGTAATACCTCCAGACTCCTCTACTGTACATACTGTCCCCTGTCATACCTCCAGACTCCTCTACTGTACATACTGCCCCCTGTCATACCTCCAGACTCCTCTACTGTACCAACTGCCCCCTGTCATACCTCCAGACTCCTCTACTGTACATACTGCCCCCTGTCATACCTCCAGACTCCTCTACTGTACATACTGCCCCCTGTAATACCTCCAGACTCCTCTACTGTACATACTGCTCCCGGTAATACCTCCAGACTCCTCTACTGTACAACTGTTCCCGGTAATACCTCCAGACTCTACTGTACATACTGTCCCCATCATACCTCCGGACTCCTCTACTGTACATACTGCTCCCTGTAATACCTCCAGACTCCTCTACTGTACATACTGCTCCCTGTAATACCTCCGGACTCCTCTACTGTACATACTGCCCCGTCATACCTCCAGACTCCTCTACTGTACATACTGCTTCCTGTAATACCTCCAGACTCTACTGTACATACTGCTCCCTGTCATACCTCCAGACTCCTCTACTGTACTACTGCCCCCTGTCATACCTCCAGACTCTACTGTACATACTGCTCCCTGTCATACCTCCAGACTCCTCTACTGTACATACTGCCCCCTGTAATACCTCCAGACTCCTCTACTGTACATACTGTCCCCTGTAATACCTCCAGACTCCTCTACTGTACATACTGCCCCCTATAATACCTCCAGACTCCTCTACTGTATATACTGCTCCCTGTCATACCTCCAGACTCCTCTACTGTACATACTGCTCCCTGTCATACCTCCAGACTCCTCTACTGTACATACTGCCCCCTGTCATACCTCCAGACTCCTCTACTGTACATACTGCCCCCTGTCATACCTCCAGACTCCTCTACTGTACATACTGCTCCCTGTCATACCTCCAGACTCCTCTACTGTACATACTGCCCCCTGTCATACCTCCAGACTCCTCTACTGTACATACTGCCCCCTGTAATACCTCCAGACTCCTCTACTGTACATACTGCCCCCTGTTATACCTCCAGACTCCTCTACTGTATTTACTGCCCCCGTTATACCTCCAGACTCCTCTACTGTATTTACTGCCCCCGTTATACCTCCAGACTCCTCTACTGTATTTACTGCCCCCGTTATACCTCCAGACTCTTCTACTATACATACTGCTCCCTCCACAAGTAGCTTAACTCTTCAGTAAAAGACAGACGTTGAATCCAGCATAGGTTTACTTCAGATACGTGTATTACAAGGGATGGTTTTCCATCCATTTAAAGTGTGAGAAGACAGTTCCTTTCCTAAACTCCATATTTGCACTAGAAAATAAAACAATTGCATATATAAACCCTGTCTGTGCAATAGAAATTAAAACTAAGCTGAGCAGCATAAGAGAGCAGATAGTGTCAAGCTAGGGACTGTACTAACTAGAGACGAAACAGGAGGGGAAACGAGAACATATCAAATGTGCAATAACAGTAATAAACAGGCTGATATGGGAGCACAGACCTTGCTTCTCCTCACTTCTTGCACATAGGGATAAGAAATCTGAAGGTCAATTCTCCTCAGTGGGCCACAGATAACAATAAACACTGATACACGTTCTAACCCTAGCCCATGCTGACCAAAACTCAAAAATTAAAGGCAGAAGGGTTTTTTTTACCTTCATGCCTTCAGCCCCCCCTAATACTTACATGAGCTTGATCGCTATCCAGCGGCTCTCCCGGGTCTCTTTTCTCCTCATTGACTGAGACACAGTAGCGGTAGCCATTGGATCCCACTGCTGTCAGTCACAGCCAATGAGGAGGGAGCAGGGGCAGGGCCAATCTGTGCTCTGTGTCTTACAGACACACAGGCAGCTCGATTGCAAGCATGCAAGTGTGCCCCATAGCATGCAGCTTGCTCTGGGGGCACTCAGCAGGATGGAGGGGCCTGGAGTGCCAGCGGGGACCCGAGAAGAGGAGGATCGGGCCTGTTCTGTACAAAACAATTACACAGAGCAGGTAAGTATTACTTGTTAGTTATTTTTTATATAGAAGTCTAATAAATTCATCACTGTATTCATTAATACATCACGATGTAGCTTTTTAATGTATGCATTGTAAGTACCTGAATTTGACATGGCATCAGCCTTTTGTAGTCCCTGTACGGCATATTTTTACTGAGGGAGAGAAAGGCAACACAAGGGGCCAGTCATTTGTCCTACAGTACTCATGTTCTAACACGGATCATGCTTGTAGGAGGAAAGAGCAGAGTGACAGAGGAATGAGTTCCTCAGCCTGCTACATTTCCTCTGTACAGTCACAAGCTGGCGGAGGAACAAGGCCTGTACATTTTACAATGCTGTGTGCCAGAGTTGTATAAATCTCAGGACTGAATGGACAGAAATACAAATCCATTGGTAGGTGAAAAACCTCCAATATACAATGTATTGCCAAAAGTATTAGGACACCTCTCCAAATCATTGGATTCAGGTGTTCCAATCTCCATGGCCACAGGTGTATAAAATCAAGCCCCTAGGCATGCAGACTGCTTCTACAAACATTTGTGAAAGAATGGGTCGCTCTCAGGAGCTCAGAGAATTCAAGCGTGGTCCCGTGATAGGTTGCCACCTCATCCATTAAATTTATTTGCTACTAAATATTCCACAGTCAGTTGTTAGTGGGATTATAACAAAGTGGAAGCAACTGAGAACAACAACCATGAAGTGGTAGGCCACGTAAAATGACAGAGTGGGGTCAGCACATGCTGAAGCGCACAGTGCGCAGAAGTCACCAACTGTCTGCAGAGTCAATAGCTACAGACCTCCAAACTTGGTGTGGCCTTTAGATTGATCAACAACAGTGCATAGAGAGCTTCATGGAATAGGTTTCCATGGCCGAGCAGCTGCATCCAAGCCTTACATCGCCAAGTGCAATGCAAAGTGTCAGATGCAGTGGTGTAAAGCACGCCGCCACTGGATTCTAGAGCAGTGGAGATGTGTTCTCTGGAGTGACGAGTCACTCTTCTCTGTCTGGCACTCCGATGGACATGTCTGGGTTTGGAGGTTACCAGGAGAACAGTACTTGCCTAACTGCATTGCGCCAAGTGTAAAGTTTGGTGGAGGGGGGATTATGGTGTGGGGTTGTTTTTCAGGGGTTGGGCTTGGCCCCTTAGTTCCAGTGGAGAGAACTCTTAAGGCGTCAGCATACCAAGACATTTTGGACAATTTTCTGCTCCCAACTTTGTGGGAAGAGATTGGGGATGGCTCCTTCTTGTTCCAACATGACTGCACACCAGTGCACAAAGCAAGGTCCATAAAGACATGGATGAGCGAGTTTGGGGTGGAGGAACTTGACTGTCCTGCACAGAGTCCTGACCTCAACCTGATAGAACACCTTTGGGATGAATTAGAGCGGAGACTGCGATCCAGGCCTTCTCATCCGACATCAGTGCCTGACCCCACAAATGTGCTTCTGGAAGAATGGTCAAACCTTCCCATAGACACCCTCCTAAACCTTGTGGACGGCCTTCCCAGAAGAGTTGAAGCTGTTATAGCTGCAAAGGGCGGGGCCAACCCAATGGGATGCCATTAAAGTTCATGTGCGTATAAAGGCAGGCGTCCCAATACTTTTGGCAATATAGTGTATGTATTTGATGCTTCTTTTTAGTTTGCCTGATATACTGCTTTAGATTGATGCTACTGAACTGGATCTAGTATTTGTACTGTCTAGGTTCATCTAGACCCGTCCTAACACTGTGTTTAGCACGGATGTTATCTTGTACATGGTTCCTGCAACTCAGCATTTCTCTTTATATTGGAGCTCTGCAAATCTCATCCTCATGTTAACAATGTCCTCCTTTGTTTCGTAGTGGGTATGCCATCAGAAGAGCCAGAAGTCAATTTGGATGAGGACGAAGACATAGCCGTCACCCAGAGCATTGATAATTTCACTTGTTCCATCACCCAGGTATGTTCTGTATTGTAAGCCGTTTTTAAAGCAAAATCATTATCTAGAGCAAGGGTCTCCGAACTTTCTAAATAGAGGGTCAGTTCACTATCCTTCAGGATTTAGGGGAGGAGGGGGAAGACTGTGGTCACTGGGAGTAGAAAATGCCCCATTATTGGTTTTAGTGGGAGGAATAGTGCCCCATTATTGGTTTTAGTGGGAGGAATAGTGCCCCATCATTGGTATCAGTGGGAGGAATAGTGCCCCATCATTGGTGTCAGTGGGAGGAATAGTGCCCCATTATTGGTTTTAATGGGAGGAATAGTGCCCCATCATTGGTATCAGTGGGAGGAATAGTGCCCCATCATTGGTATCAGTGGGAGGAATAGTGCCCCGTCATTGGTGTCAGTGGAAGGAATAGTGCACCATCAATTGTGTCAATGGGAAGAATAGTGTCCCATTATTGCTTTTTAGTGGGAGGATTAGTACCCCATCCATGTTGTTAGTGGGAGGAATAGTGCCCCATCATTGGTATCAGTGGGAGGAATAGTGCCCCATCGTTGGTGTCAGTGGGAGGAATAGTGTCCCATCATTAGTATCAGTGGGAGGAATAGTGCCCCATCATTGGTATCAGTGGGAGGAATAGTGTCCCATCATTGGTATCAGTGGGAGGAATAGTGTCCCATCATTGGTATCAGTGGGAGGAATAGTGTCCCTTTATTGGTTTTAGTGGGAGGATTAGTACCCCATCATTGGTGTCCGTGGGAGGAATAGTGTCCCATTATTAGTTTTAGTGGCAGAAATAGTACTCCATCAATGGTGTCAGTGGGAGGAATATTGCGCCATCGATAGTGTCAGTGGGACGAATAGTGCCCCATTATTTGTGTCAGTGGCAGGAATAATGCCCCATTATTGGATTTAGTGGGAGGATTAGTACCCCATCAGTGGTGTCAGTGAGAGGAATAGTATCCTATTATTGGCTTTAGTGGAAGGATTAGTACCCCATCATTGGTGTCAGTGGGAGGAATAGTGTCCCATTATTAGTTTTAGTGGCAGAAATAGTACTCCATCAATAGTGTCAGGAGGAGCAATAGTGCGCCATCAAATGGTGTCAGTGGGAGGAACATTGCGCCATCGATAGTGGTCAATGGGAGGAATATTGCGCCATCGATAGTGTCAATGGGAGGAATATTGCGCCATCGATAGTATCAGTGGGAGGAATAGTGTCCCATTATTGGTTTTAGTAGGAGGAATAGTGTCCCATCATTGGTATCAGTGGGAGGATTAGTGCCCCATCATTGGTATCAGTGGGAGGAATTAGTGCCCCATCATTGGTATCAGTGGGAGGAATAGTGTGCCCCATCATTGGTATCAGTGGGAGGAATAGTGTCCCATCATTGGTATCAGTGGGAGGAATAGTGTCCCTTTATTGGTTTTAGTGGGAGGATTAGTACCCCATCATTGGTGTCAGTGGGAGGAATAGTGTCCCATTATTAGTTTTAGTGGCAGAAATAGTACTCCATCAATGGTGTCAGTGGGAGGAATATTGCGCCATCGATAGTGTCAGTGGGACGAATAGTGCCCCATTATTTGTGTCAGTGGCAGGAATAATGCCCCATTATTGGATTTAGTGGGAGGATTAGTACCCCCATCAGTGGTGTCAGTGGGAGGAATAGTGTCCCATTATTAGTTTTAGTGGCAGAAATAGTACTCCATCAATAGTGTCAGGAGGAGCAATAGTGCGCCATCAATGGTGTCAGTGGGAGGAACATTGCGCCATCGATAGTGTCAGTGGGAGGAATATTGCGCCATCGACAGTGTCAATGGGAGGAATATAGTGTCAGTGGGGGAAGGAAGTAGGAGTGTGCCCCCATTATCAGTGGGAGGTTTTAGTATAGGAGGAATAGTGCCCCATCATTGGTATCATGGGAGGAATAGTGCCCCATCATTGATATCAGTGGGAGGGTTCCCCATCATTGGTATCAATGGGAGGAATAGTGCCCCATCATTGGTATCAGTGGGAAGAATAGTGTCCCATCATTGGTATCAGTGGGAAGAATAGTGCCCCAAGGGACAGGTAAAGGAAAACGAAGAGCTGCATTCTGCCCCAGGGTTGCAGTTTAGAGACTACTGGTCTAGAACAGTGGTGGTCAACTCAAAAAATATACCAGGCCCCAAATGCAGCCCCAAACATGTCAGAATTTTATCAATTATTACCAGTCTGCTGACTCTGATGAGACTCTGCGTTTCCCATTCACTGACTCATGTTGGAATCAGTGAAGAAGATACAGTAGCCATCCCAGTGTCAGTATAAATCATACATAGTAGGATGGATCGTTCATTTGGATGTTTTTGCCATCAAAAGTTGTCTGAAAGTGGTTGACATTTCCTCAAAGTTTCCATGTGGCCAATAATAGAGTGGGACTGCAGCCTGAATGCTTTCCTAGTTTTGTTTGGAGCTGAAAGCTGCACTCGGGCCTCCCCTTCAGGCTTGCACAGTTGGACCTGCTCTGCTTATGTATGCGGACTTAATATGGACTATGTTGTAACCTGTGTGGGTTTTTACCATCGTTTTTACCTCTAAATAAGGCTATTTTATATAGTGATCTTTAAGTTGCTGATAGCGCTGCACTTAACTGTTAATATTTGTCATTTTATGTAAATCCTGGTGCATGTGAAGTTCTTGACTGTACTCACAAATGTTTGACACAAATTCAGCCCCTGCTGCATCCTCTCACCTTGTGACTTGTTACAAAGTTTCAGTCTGATCACTGATAGAGGAGACTGAGGAAATGCTTCCTCCTGCTTGTAGCAGACTGAGGATATCATCGTAGCCTAGCAAAAGACAATGACTGGGAATCAAAGAGGGATTTTAAATGATAAAAAAATGTTTTTAATCTATTTATTATAGCTGTATATTGTGACATATCAGGATTGTGAACATGCAGACTTTTTTTTTTTTTTCACTGAGATGTCCACTTAAAAACGTTTTTGCTGGAGTTTGATTTAAATTCACTTCTAGTTTCATTTAATCCTGCTGCTCTGACCTTTTCTGAAAAGCTCGATTTACAGCAGAGCTCTGAGATGTCGGGGAGTTTATCTCTCACAGGTATCTCTTGCTGTTTTTGCCTTTCTGTGTTTTTCCAGGAAATGTTGCTGCTAAGAAGGGACTTCCTTTATTATAGCCAAAAAGATGCAATCTCCAGCCAATGGCTGAGCTGTAAAGTGAACCCAAGCTACGGCTGTGTTAGCGTTGGTTTTTATTCATGCCGTGCGAGGAGCGTGGAGGATAAAAATATCTTCCTGGAGATTTGTTGTTGTATAATAACCATATGTCTTGTTATATAAATGTATTTGTAGAAATGATGGTAAAAAACATAATTACTTAGAGCTGAACAGGAAGATATAAAAGACATAACTGAATGCCGCATAATTGCAGTTATTTATACATCATTAAGGGTCCAGTTCACACTATGAATCGCGCAGGAACGCTCTGTGCGATTCCCATGCGATCTGTGTGCAGTGCTCTTTCAGCCCATTCATTTGAATGGGCTGAAATCGTGTTGGACCTCACCAAAAGTAGTTCAGGCACTGCTTTGTAACATGCACAACAATGGTGAATGGTGCTACCGTGCCATGCAATCTGGTGCAGGCGAACTCACTGCATTTGCAACCTGCGTTTGGACTATACACTTGCATTAAGTTAACACTGACACCTGCTGCAGATTGTAAGTGCAGTGCGTTTTGAATGCGGTGCAGGAAATGTGCACAGAATGCGGGTTTCCCACACTGCATTTTGGTGTGAACGAGCCCTCAATTTGTGAAAGGAAGAAGCAGCACAAAGAGCCAATCAGCTCATGCGCTGACAAGACACATGCTTATAGGAGAAAGCAGAGTGACAGATGAGCTCTTTATCGTTTGACTATCCAGTCTGGGGAGAGTCCAAGACCTGGGCTCAGAGGCAGTGTATGGAATGATACTGGCCATCAGACTGAGGAAATCTAGTAGCAGAAAAAATGTCCAAGACCTGGGCTCTGAGGCAGTGTATGGAATGATACTGGCCATCAGACTGAGGACATCTAGTAGCAGAAAAAATGTCCAAGACCTGGGCTCTGAGGCAGTGTATGGAATGATACTGGCCATCAGACTGAGGAAATCTAGTAGCAGAAAAAAATGTCCAAGACCTGGGCTCTGAGGCAGTGTATGGAATGATACTGGCCATCAGACTGAGGACATCTAGTAGCAGAACAAAAATGTCCAAGACCTGGGCTCTGAGGCAGTGTATGGAATGATACTGGCCATCAGACTGAGGACATCTAGTAGCAGAACAAAAATGTCCAAGACCTGGGCTCTGAGGCAGTGTATGGAATGATGCTGGCCATCAGACTGAGGACATCTAGTAGCAGAAAAAATGTCCAAGACCTGGGCTCTGAGGCAGTGTATGGAATGATGCTGGCCATCAGACTGAGGACATCTAGTAGCAGAACAAAAATGTCCAAGACCTGGGCTCTGAGGCAGTGTATGGAAAGATCCATCAAACTGAGGACATCTAGTAGCAGAAAAAAAAAATTATGCAGGGGAAATCTCTGGATTCAAGTCAATAATTGCAGCAAAAGCTGTTTTTTGTTATTTTGTTTCGGGGCTATTCATTTTTTGCTTTTTTGGAGTTTTGCTTTCAGATTGATAAGCGACACACACATAGTTACATTCAAGGCTGGGGAGAGATGGTCACGGAGCTCTAGAGATTTAAGTCACATTAATTACATCACTAAAGGAGAGCCCACCAGCCAGACGGTGTAGTATACTTGGCTTGCAAGGTGGCACCTCCTGTCAAACTCATCCACCGTGGTCAATGGTACCACGCTTTAACAATAAGATATCTGCTTAGTTTGCGGCTGCGGGTGCAGTATTTCAAATCGGGAAAAAAAAATTTATATCGAAAAAAATCCCCATTGGGATTAAAAAAAAAAAAAAAAAACCTCTTAAATGCCTGGCAGCTACTGCTCTTCACTGTTGATTGCTTTTCAGAGAGCAGTAGAGACTGCCCTCCATGTGAAAGAGCCCTCACATTGCAGCCAGGTATTATAAAGCATCAGTTCTGCATTTTTTAAAGAAGTTCCCTGCTTTTTCATTAGACAGTCTTCTTTTAAAGTGGTTCTCCACCCAAATGTTTTACTTGGCCCAAGTTGTTTTAAATGTGTTCCATGTCCAGAAAATAACATTCCTTTTCTCACTGGGCATGTCCCCCCCCGACACAAGCATACACAGGACACATGCTTATAAACATGAAGAAATCATACACGCAGTGGATTAAACATTTCTTAGCAGTTCTAAAAATAAGGGACAAATATGGTATCATTTGTGTCCACGGAGACACAAATAATACCTAAATGGTTTAATGAGAAACATGTCCACAGAGATGCAGTTGGTTCTGTAATGACACAACCAGAAATATGTCATTACAGTACAGAGACGCATTTGGTACCATAATGACATAACCGAAGACATGTTGGCAGAGATACATTTGGTACAGTTATGGCAAAACCCAAAAAACATGTCTGCAGAGACACAATTAGTACCATAATGACATAAACCAGAAACATGTATGCAGAGATGCAGTTGGTACAGTAACAACATAACCAGAAAAATGTCCACAAAGACACAGTTGGTACTGTAATGGTATAACCAGAAATTTGACTGCAGGGACACAATCGTTACCGTAATGACATAACCAGAAACATCTCTGCAGGGATGCAGTTGGTACTGTAGTGACATAGCAAGAAACTTGTCTGTAGAGACACAATTGGTACTGTAATGACATAACTAGAAACATGTCTGTAGGGATGCAATTGGTACTGTAATTACATAAACAGAGACACAATTGGTACCATAATGACCATAAACATGTCCGCATAGGTGCAATTGGTAACGTAATGACATAACCAGAAACATGTCTGCAGACACGCAATTGATACTATAATGACTTAACCAGAAACATGCCGCAGAGACGCAATTGGTACTGCAATAACACAATCAGAAACATGTCCGCAGAGACGCAATTGATACTGTAATGACACAATCAGAAACATGTCTGCAGATACGCAGTTGGTACTGTAATGACACAACCAGAAACATGCCTGCAGAGACGCAATTGGTACCGTAATGACACAACCAGAAACATGTCCACAGAGACGCAATTGGTATCGTAATGACACAACCAGAAACATGTCAACAGAGACGCAATTGATACCGTAATGACATAACCAGAAACATGTCTGCAGAGGCGCAATTGGTACCGTAATGACTAAACCAGAAACATGTCTGCAGAGGCGCATTGGTACCGTAATGACTAAACCAGAAACATGTCTGCAGAGACACAATTGGTACCGTAATGACTA